GTTTTTTTTTTCCTTTCAAAATAATATATTTTGATAAAAAATAATGTTCAATTATATTTGATTTTTCTTATATTGAATGAAATTTCAGAAGTTGTCTAGATGGAAGGGAGGTATATGTGGACCATTGAATTGGAGAATATAAAATATTTAAATAAATGATGGATTGTGAGATGTGGAAATGGACTTTAGTTGTGTGGTTGGATTTGTCTTGTCCTAAAAAATATCTGAATGCAAAGCACCACAAAACGAAATATGTACCACAAAGTTGGTGTGTTCTCGAACTCAACTGGACTAGGTGACGGGTACGTAATTATAATTATATGGTCCTATGTAAAATTGACTTTGATACTATACGGGAGACTTTGATACTATGTAAAAAACGGAAGAAAACGTGTACGGTTCCATGTAAGTGAAATCAGGGGCGGAGCTACATGTATTTGTATCTGGGCTTCAGCCTGGGTGGCTTCCGCTAAGGGTGCATAGGTCGATTTGGTCGACCGATCGGACCGAATTAAAAAAAAAAAAACTAAAATAACCGAACCATATTATACCAAAAACTGAAACCGACCGAATTATCAATTTAACTAAACATTAAACGACCGAACTTCTTGGTCGATTTCCAAACTGACCGAACTACACATTTTATATATACATGTATTTTATAATATATATAATATAACATAGTATATAAATATATATACATATATTCGGTCAGTTCGGTTATCTCGGACATTTGATGTCCGAAAACCGACACCGACCGAAATAACCGAAAACTCATTTGACTAAAACTGTATACCGATCGATTCAGATAAAAACCGAATCGAAATTTTTGATTTGGTCGGTTTCGATCGGTTTTTTCAGTTTTAGTCAAATTATGCTCACCCTTAGCTTCCACAACTTTTATTTAATTCATGTTTGAGTGACTTCTACAAGTTCTACAATTCTTCAAATTTAGCCCAGGTAATTTCAGGCCGAGTGGCTTTAACCCGGGAACATTTTGAATCTTAGCTCTGTCCCTGAGTGAAGTGCACCATGACATGGTGAGTCAGATGAAGCACACGTAAGATTTCATCGCAAAACCAATTGGTGAAATAAGTAGTAGTTCACTAGATTTATTAAGTTGAACATATTTTCTCTATATAAACAATTTAGGACAACTCACACAAATGTTATTATCTTATAATCACAGTACTATTATCATCTAATAAAAACTTTGCGTTAAAACGGGAAGATTCGATGTTATAACATTATCCATTTTTTTTTATCTCCTGGATCACACAAATTTATCCAACAGTAAAAAAATCCACCGTTATCCATAGCCACAAATTTTTCATCAAATAAAGGATGAAAGTCAGGTTCCTAATTC